GCAGGTGGGCAGCGCCCAGCCCAGGGCTTGAGGCGGGGATCGGCCTGGGCTGCAGTGAGGATTCTGGCCCCGTGAAGTGGGGGGTGGCTACCTGCAGAACGGTAGGGAGCAGGTATTTGGGAGAGAAGGAGCCCCAAGTTCAAAGCCCCGGAGGTGAGAAAGTGGTGAGAAAGTGTTTGTGCCTGGTGGGTGGGAAGTGGTGTTTGTTGAAGGGATCCCTCCCCAGCCCGCCTTCCATAGGAATTTGTATTTTGCTTACAGGTGATAAGGTCATTGGAAGATTAAGTATACTAGGCAGGGATTGGCCAGACCTAAAAGCACAGAGACCAGTTAGGAGTAATCCCGTGAGAATGGAGGAGGCTCCAATTAAAGTAATGGAGGGGAAAGTCAGGCTCAAGATAGAGGACCCTGAACGCCCAGAGATTGTTTCCACCCAGCAGGACACAAGATTGTCACAGCTGGTGCATGGGGTTCCCGGCTGGCCGATGATTGTCTAAGAAAGAGGAATGTGGAAAGCCACCTGATATAATGCCACAGGAGGACAGTGGGACACTCAGAGAGGACCCTGGGCTCCAGGCAGCCTTCCCCAGGGAGGGCCAGAACCTCTCCTTCAGCTGGGCTAGAGGCCAGCAGGCTGTGCCAGCCCCCAGACATGCTGGGGGCTCCCACTCAACGGGCCCACTCTTCCCTTCCATGTAGGAGGAGGCAAAAAACTTCATCACCCGAGAGAACCTGGAGGCACGGGTGGAAGAAGCACTGGACTCCCCCCCAAAGAACTACAACTGGGCCATCACCCGAGAGGGGCTGGTGGTCAGGCCACAGCACAGAAGCCCCTAGGGGTCCCACTGGACAGTGCTGCCTCAGGGACCGTGTGTGTATGGGGGAAGGGCTGGGCCCAATGTGGAATGAAGCCGTTGGTGTTTCTTGTGAGGAGGGCTCGGCCTTTCTAGTTAGGCCTCTGCACTCACCGTTTGCTCAGAAACTCCAAACACAGTGCCCTGCTCTGCCCCTGTGCACGGTTTCAGCACAGCACCAGTGTCTGGAGTGGTTTCCATCTCAGAGGATTAGACTGGGTCGCAGACCCCTTGGACAGCCAGCATCTCTCGAGCATCATCGAGGACAGTGATTGGCAAGTTATAATCCATGGGCTAAATGTAAATGTGGCCCACTACCTGTTTTTGTAAATAAAGTTTTATTGGAACATCGCCATGTGCACTGGTTGACTGCTTGACCAATGGCAGAGATTAGTTGTTGCAGCAGACACCGTATGCCTTCCATAGTGTAAAACATTCATTATATGATTACAGAGGGGATTTGCTATCCCTTATCTGGGGCTTTAAGATTGTACCCTGGAGCAATCAACAGGGCCACTTCCACTGGATCCTGGGTTTTACTTGCCAGGGTCTAGCGTGTCTAAGATTGAGAAGACAAAGTGAAGACCCCACTTTTTCCATGGCCCTCCCATGGCCTTAGCAGCCCACGTCCTATGTGTACCTGCCAGCCTCGGTAGACTATCCACCAGATTGGTCTGGCAGGGGAGGCCAAGTTGGCCAAAGTTGTATGAAAAGCTCAGTGTGGCTTGGTAAGCACTTGCACAGACCCTAGGGTACTGGGAACATTTGCGATTGACGTTCCCAAGGTTGAGTGAGCGAGCACGTGACTCCGTGGCCCCTGTGTCCATGAGGCCATCAGGCAGCATCTGAAATGGTGAGATGTTTCTCAGCCAGACCTGCTGCCCCTTCATTGCTATTCACACGCACTCCTGCTACCACCAGGGATGGACAGAGTGGAAGCCTAGCTTCTTTCCACAACTCCTTCTTGTCGGGGACACCTCCATACCCCTAAGAAATGAAAATCTTTTAAGGAGTATGGGCAACTCATGCTCCAGGTGAGGAAGCAGGTGTGGAGGTGGCAGGAGTGCTGACTTGGCAGCCTGCCCCCAGCAGACACTGCATCCTGAGAGCCATGGCCTCCCTCAGTCTGACAACAGCTCTGACCCTGACACTGATCAGAGGACAGTAGAGTCCCTGTTCTCAGGTGCTCAGTGCAGCTTCTGGGGCTGAGAACGCACTTGTGAACCATGGTTTGGCCATGTTATCCGCAACCTCAGGCTTTGTCATGGGCCTCTGGTCCCCTGCAGTGAAAGTCTTTGGTGAGCTTTCACATAGGACACTGGCTTGTATTGAGAAGTCCAGTTTTGTGGGGTTTCTAGGTTTTTGCCACGCGGTGCATGCACTCTCCATAGAGCGAAAATGAGGAATCATTCCTTAGGAGGGATTGTTACAATCTCTTCTCCATTCTCTCAGGATTGCAGGCACCCATACACATGCTCATGGCGTGATCTTCAAGCTGCCACATTTGGAACTCCAATCATAGTTGGCTGTGTGGGAGTCCAGTGTCTTAACCACCACAGCACCTGCTGGCCCCAAGCTTCAGTGTTTTTATTTTCCACCCACAGCCTCCTGCTGGTATAGACATGAATAGGCAGTTTACTGGTACCTTCAGGGTTAGCTCAAGCCCAGCTTGTAAGGGATCAGAGTGCTGCTTGGTGCACAGCACCATTCACCCTGGGATGCAGAGCTGTGCGGTGTGCCATGGTAGGATACCTAGTCCCCCACAGAACCCTGGGTAGTTAAGGCTGGCCCCATAGTCCAGTGGCCTGGTGCTATGCGGGGGGCTCTGGATCCCACATGGCCAACTGCAGTTTAAATCCAAGCCCTGGAGATTTGAAAAATGCCAGGTACATGTGTGTACATGTCCAAAATTCTGATGGGATGGAGAAATGAAGGAAACTGGATTGTGGCATGACATACCCCACTGAGGGGTGCTTGTGCTTGCTCTTGCCCTCTCTCCCTCTGGTGAAGCGCAGATACCCTCTGGTAATTTAAAAGAAGAACCCGGATAGTTAACCTGATGGGTGTGGCCTTGCTCAAAAACACCAACTTCAGATTCTTGCCTCGAGTTCCAATAGGGTTTGCATCTTTGCAACAATGTGAGCTCTGGAGGGTTGCAAGGACTGAGTTGCCAGACTCTAGGGTGCAGCCTGGACCACCTAGAGAGTCTCTTGAGCAAGAGCCCACCCATGAGTGGTAGATTTGGGGACTGCCCCATAAGTGCATTGGGAGCAGAACACCCAAATGTGAGTGTTTTTTTTTTTTTTTAAGAGGTTTTTGCTATAGGGTGTGTGCGCTCGCCAGACAGAGACAGTGAGACAGAAAGTGAGACATCACCCCCAGGGGGGATGGCCACGCCGCAGTCCCTTCTCCTCCGTTCTCCTCTCAGGGTCTTGGGCACACACACACATGCGCCTGGCGTGAGTTTTAAGCCACTGGGCCCAGGACGCAAACCGCGGTCGACTACGTGGGAGTCCAGCGACATAGCCATTACGCTAACTGCTGGTCCCCCAAATGTGAGTGTTTTCACCAACATTTGAGGAGGCCCAGCATGCTTTGTGCACAGTGGGGTAGGAGGGTGGATCATGGTGAGCCGTTTCCCACTGTGGAGGGAAGGCATCCTCACCCCAGGGGATTTTGCTGAGTGAGCAGTTTTTCCTCAAGGATTTCTCTCCCATAGATATTTCACCAAGACATTCAGGAGTCTTCCTTTTCCATTTTTCCAGGGTGAGCAGCATGGCGTCAGTGAGGTGGACCACCATGGTGTCCAGGGATAGGTGTGCAAGGTGCGTGAGTTTTAAGCCACTGGGCCCAGGACGCAAACCGCGGTCGACTACGTGGGAGTCCAGCGACATAGCCATTACGCTAACTGCTGGTCCCCCAAATGTGAGTGTTTTCACCAACATTTGAGGAGGCCCAGCATGCTTTGTGCACAGTGGGGTAGGAGGGTGGATCATGGTGAGCCGTTTCCCACTGTGGAGGGAAGGCATCCTCACCCCAGGGGATTTTGCTGAGTGAGCAGTTTTTCCTCAAGGATTTCTCTCCCATAGATATTTCACCAAGACATTCAGGAGTCTTCCTTTTCCATTTTTCCAGGGTGAGCAGCATGGCGTCAGTGAGGTGGACCACCATGGTGTCCAGGGATAGGTGTGCAAGGTCTTGAGGATTAGGTTGTGCCAAACGAGAGGTGTCCATCTCTTGGGTTGAGTGGTGAATAGGAAGTGGATAGAAAGAGAAGGCTGTGTCTGCCGGACTAGTGGATGCCCGCTGCCTCATTGCCTGTGCCGGCAAGGAGACGCCATCAGGACCTGCTGGAACCTCACGGCATTCCCTGTACCTTTCCAGGATAGTCCACGTTTTCTGAATGGAACACAGTCATGAGTATCCAATATTCCCTGGAATCTTTAGGAGCATCCTCCCCCCACCTCCATCCCCCGAACTTGCCCTGTGATCATTTCCCTGACCTTACAAGCACAGAGTTGGAACAATCTCCTATAGCCTGAAAAATGTCCTTCAGTTCAGCTGCAGTAGTGTGTTGGTCATTGCAGCTGCTCAACGGGCTGAGGCCATGTGGGATTCTCAGGTTCAATTCCCAGCCCACCCTACAAGCCAGGTGTGGTACTATTTGGGAGGCTGAGGCAGAGGATCCACATGGTGAAACCAGGCCAGCCACGTGGTGCAGCAGTAAGACGAAGCACTGTGGTGCTGAACCCACGTGGAAAGGGTCCAGGTTTGTGTCCCAAAGTCTCCCTACAGACACTGGGCATGTATGCCCATGACAGCATGACTCTCTCTCTCTCTCTCTCTCTCAGAAGAAATAAGTAACCTTAAAAATGGGCGAGTGGATGGGACTGGCAGTTGGCATAATGGCTATGTCACTGGACTCCTAGTAGTCGACCACAGTTTGAGTCCCAGACCCCAGTGGCTTAAACTCACGCCAGGTGTGTGTGCGTGCGTGCCCAGGATCCCGAGAGGAGAATGGAGGAGAAGGGATTGTGGTGTGCCCATCTCCCCTGGGGGGTGATTTCGTGCTTTCTGTCTCTCTGTCTCTCCCTGTCTTTCTGGTGAGTGCACGCGCCCTATAGCAAAAACCTCTCAAAAATAAAAAAAGGGCAAGTGGGGCCATCAGGTGGCGTGGTAGTTAAGGCGCTGGACTCCCACATGGCCAACCACAGTTTGGGTCCTGGACTTGGCAGCTTTCTCTCTCCCTCTTTCTGTATCTCTATCTGGTAAGCACACATGCCCTACAGCAAATTTTAAAATAATAATAATAAAATTAAATACATACTTCTTAAAAAAAAAAAAAAAACGTGGTTCAGCTGCTCACTGGTAACCTGCAGGAGTGTCGATGGGCTCTACAGGCTGTCGGGGGGGGGGCTATCTCCTCTACAGGCTGTCGGGTGGGGGTCTATGTCCCTGAAGCTATAATTACATCTGCCTGGGACCAAGAAAATGAATCCATTTTTTAAAAAATTATTTTATTCATTTATTTACTTATTATTATTTTTTCACATGTGTTGCCAGAGAAAGACAGAGAGAGACAGAGAGGGAGCAAGCTGCCAAGTTCGAGACTTGAATTGTGGTCAGCCATGTGGGAATTCCAGCGCCTTAACCACCATGCCACCTGCTGGCCCAAAATGAATCCATTTTTGAAGTTTGTATTATGTGAAGATGTGGGAGTGGAGTTTACCTGGGAGGAGTGGCAGAACCTGGATGATGCTTAGAGGACCCACTATGGGTATGTGATCTTGGAGACCCACAGCAGCCTGTTCCTGGCAGAACGCTGCATTGCCGGACCTGCTTGGTCCTCGAGTTCAGCACAGAGCAGAGCCCTGGACACTGGAACTCCTCAACCACAGCCTCCCAGGTGGTATCTGATTACCCTGTGAGACTCCTGTTCCATCTGCCAGAATCCTTCCGTCCCTGGTGTTTCTTAGTCGTTTTCCATCTGCTGCCCTCCTACACTGCTCCTGGGCCATTGATTTTCACTCCCCGTATAGTGTTTGGAGTTAAGCCCAATCTCTCTTCCCCATTGCAAAACACAATTGCAGTGGACCCTAAATTTATCACTTCTTGCCATGCTTTAAAAAAAAAAAAAAGTAGGCCCACTGGTGGGGTGGTAGTTAGGATGACTGGATCCCATATGACCAACTGTTCAGGCCCTAGACCTGGCTGCTTGAGAAACATATTGGGCACGTGTGCGTGCTCAGAATCCTAGGCCTGGTAGGGATAGAGGAGAAAGGATTATTATGTGGCCCTTCCCCCATAGGAGTGCTTTCTCACTCCCCTCCCCCTGCCCATCTCTCTAGCAAGCACACATACCATGGACGAAAAAAAATTAAATAATATTTTTTTAAAAAAATAAGCTTAAGGGCCTAGCGCGGCCGGGGCTCTCCACCCCGTGCGCGCCGCCGAGCCTGCGCGTGGCCCCCAAGCCTGCGGCAAACCGAAGCCGAAATTAAGGATTGAGAACATGCAACTAGAAAGAAACTTTAGCTGTATTAAACCAATGGAGAAACATATCGTATAGGAGGATTTTCTCTACCTGTGGACAGTGAGAAGATGATGGTTACCAGCCCTGCATTACCTCAGGGAAGAACAAGAACTACTCTACCATTCTTAAGGAAGCCAGATACCCGAGGATAGCTCACTCTGCAGATCCCCACACCATTCCCGCTGATCACTGATCGCAGGATGGCTGCTGTGCCACATCAGCTGATGATCATCTCTGCTTACCAGAACCGCTTTCATGAAACTGTGTCCCATGGAGACTCACCTACAGTTGCGGAACTGCACGAGACCCACCCTTGATCCAGCCCTGAATGGAACCTATGTTCCCTACTGTTAAAAAGTTTATGAGCTGATAATTGAAACTGTGGCCCCTCTCCCTTTACTTGCATGTATCACATTTTCGATAACTTTTCTGGAAGACAACTGTATATAGCAGAGATGGTGTGATCGGAGAGTGGGAAGGGGCAGAGGGTCAAACATAGGATAAAAAACATATATATGTATACACATGTAGGAAAGTAGAAATGGAATATTATTGATGATAACATGCTTGATTAAGCCACTATGCAACATGTATGACAAGATCTTTAACTGAATATTCATGCTGGGAAAATTCATTTAGCAAGCTGCAATAATATGTAGTTATTGATTGTGTAAAAAAATAATAAAAAATGAAAAAAAAAAGAACACTTTGCCTAAAAGAAAGGACTGACTAGTGTCAACATGTTTACAATCGTTGGTGAAATCGTAGTTTTTCATTAATTTGTATCTGTACGTCATTGTTGTAAATATTACCTGTATTTTTGGTACAAGTGAATTTGCAATGTTTTGTGAATAAACTGAATAAAGTTTTTGTTTAAAAAAAAAAAAAAAAAAGCTTAAAAGGAAATTTTTAAACAAAAGCTGTTTGCTATTCAGCCTCCCAAGAAGTTGAGGCAAATGACTAAAATTAACTGATAGGGCCAGCCCTGTGGTCTAGAGGTTAAGGGATCTGTATCCCACATGGCAAAACACAGTTCAAACCCTGGCCCCAGTGGCTTAAAAAACACACCAGGCATGTGTGTTCCCCCCAAATACCAAAAATCCTGAGAAGGGATTGAAGAATAGTCACACCCCCATGGGGGCGGGGCTGCTTTCTCCCCTTCTCTTTCTGTCTCTCTGACAAGCACACAGTCCCTTTGGTTATGCACGTGGGTATTTATATTGACCAAGAAAGGTTTCATATAAAGCATCTCCAAATTAACATTTACTAAAAGGTAACATGAATATATATTTTTAAAAATTATTTATTTTGGGGCCAGCAGGTGGCTTGGTGGTTAAGGGTGCTGGACTCCCATATGCCCAACCACAGTTCAGGTCCTGGACCTGGCAGCTTGCTTTCTCACTTTCTCTCACTGGCCAAATTAAAAAATAATAACTTTTTAAAAATTATTATTAAATTATTTTTATAGGGACCTATAAAAATTAATTAGCAATAAAAACTAAACAGGAATGTTTGCCATACAGGGAACAACAGACCAAGGGAGTTTGTGTGCATGCATTGGCTCAGGAGAGGTCAATGTGCACAAAGCCAGGTGGGGGGCACACCTGTCAGGGGCCACTGCTGGGGTCAAGCCCTCGTCCTGCTCGGCCACGGAATGCCAAAGAGCTAATCTGGATGAGAAAATGTAATGCATGTGAGCCTGACCAGCTTCTCAATGCAGGAGAAGTGACTCAGGGTCAGTGACTTGGGGGTCACATGGGCTCTGAGAACTGTGTGTCCCCATCGACCTCCGCTCCCTCCTCCAGGGAGTCAGCGAGTGGGCAAGAGAGTCTGGGACTGTCTCACCCCCTCACCCAGGCAGAGGGAGTGGACCGGGAGGAACTCTGTTAAAAGGTCTGGTCGCTCACACACCGGGTCCAGGTCTCCAGCTCTGCAGGCTGGGCTTCCCAGGGAGCAGGCTGAGACAGAGGGCCCTGGGACCCACCCTGGGGGTGTGGAGACAGGAGTGACAGAGAGCAGAATATGGACGTCAGCTGTCCTCAGGGAGCTCTGGAGCCACAGTGGCCCTGCAGATTGGTCCTGCCTTTGGGCCAAGATGGGCCAGTCATTGAATGGGGGCACCTAGGAGGCTGTGGCCCTGAGCACCCTCTACAGCTGTGGCAGTCCCTGGAGGGATGGCCAGAGGAAGGCAGCCTGCTGACCATACTCCTAGCAGTGGGTGTAAGACCTTTCTTGTTTTGTTTCCTACTTCTTTTTTCTTTTGTAGATTATGTATTCATTTCTTCCAAAAAGCAAGAGAGACAGAGAGAGAGAGAGCACTCCTCGAAGGTGTTGACACGCAGTCCACCCCAGTCACAGGCACCCTGCATGACCAGTGCACTCAGGGAGGTCTCCAGATGGGGGCCTGGAATCTTCCCTGGAGAGCCAGCCTCACAGATCACCGTGTTTTACCTTGTGCCCCCAGCTGCCCAGCGAATCCTCTCTATGGGGAATCTGGGCACAATATCTTCTTTGTTCACAACATTAATATTAACCAACACCCCTCCTCCCAGACACAAAAAAAAATTTAATTTAAATACTACTAATTATTATTTATTTGCTATAAGGCACATGTGCTCACCAGACAGAGGCAGAGAGAGAGAGAAAGAGATAGTGAGAAAGGAAGCCCCCAGGTCCGGGAATCAAACCATGGTTGACCATGCCGTAGTCCAATGCCTTAAATACCATAACACTTATTGGCCACCAGTCTTTCCTTTTTCAAGTTTTTAACTATTTTCATTTTGAAACATATTTAAAATTTTTTAAAAGAGTCTCAAACAGTTCTTAGTTGCATAAAATAAAAGATGTAAGATTGCAATCAGTAGATGGCAGAACGGTTACGTCGCTGGACTCCATGTAGTTGACCGCAGTTCGAGTCCCGGACCTGAAAACTTAAAACTCATGCTGGGCACACATGCATGTATACCCAAGATCCCGTAGAGGAGAGGGGAAGAGAAGGAATTGTGGTGTGGCCATCCTCCCTGGAGGGTGATTTCTCGCTTTCTTTCTCTCTGTCTCTCTTTGTCTTTCTGTCAAGCACATGTGCCCTAAAGCAAAAATCTCTCTTAAAACAAACAAAAAATATATAGGCTTACTAAAGAAATAAAATATATAAGCAAACTTCAAAGAGTTTGTGGAAAAGGAATTAAAATATGAGTTTATTTAGGTGCAAGAAAATTTGGAAATGCATCCATAGTTTTTTCCTAATGCACATCACCATGAACGTTCTTAAGAAACTGTATTTATATTCAGGTTTCTAAATATTAAAGCACATTCTGATGTCATAAATGTGCTGCTTTATTAAACCAGTAGGTAGCAACATCTAGCCAGAGACCCAATAACTGCCATAATTTCAAAATAATGATGAGTCTAAAGAATATTTATAGACCTTTGTATTGACTCTAACAGGACAGGGGGTGACCTGTCATTTCAATCTGTGACAAAGCCACTGGCACTGTGGTTCCTTGCCTATGTCATACTTAAAGGAGAGGCTGAATTCATTTCAGTCAGAATTTAAGACGTGATCATTTCCCTTTCAATTCCAGCTCAGGGCAGTGGGTGCTGCTGTGTGTTGGGGTGGGAAGGTTTTCACACCTGGGCTCAGGAATATGAGACCTTCCTAACAGAGGGGGACAGGCACATGTGAGTGGCAGGCCACGAGAGTGGACAGGGAGGCCAGCCTGAGACTATTGCTGCCTGGAGGAGCCCCCTTCCCCAGATGTACCAGGAGTCCAGAGAAATAGTTCTTGGTTGGGTGGTTCCTGCTCCCACATCTTCCTGTCCCATCCTAGTGACCCAGGGAATCCCAGCCTGCCCCCTTCCCCACAGCACCCGGTACAGGCTCGGTCCATTAACAGAGGCTGTAATCTTGACCCTGAGGGGGGAGGTACAGTGCTACAGCCTGACCTGCTGGACGGTCGGGCCCTCACCAGTCTTGGCGCCACCTGTCCGGTTGGGACTCAGTCTTGGCAGCCTCCAGGCATAAAAAAGGCCAGCCCGGGTGACTGCCCCAGTTGCCTCCACTGATCCCAGCACGTCACCACTGTGGCTGGCTGGGAGCTGGTCTACTGCCTATCCCTTCTCCTGGCTCTTACCTCTGCCCTCTACATCCGGGACTTCCCCCCCCCTCCCCCCGTGAAAAGAGGATGGAGAGGACCAGGCACACCGGGTCCTGCTACCCGACACCTCTGGGAACCCAAGGATTTCAGGGGATTGGACTCTCTGTCTTTGACCACTGTCTAGGCCTAGTCGGTGTCCCAGCGTCTGCAGCCCCCACGATCTGGCCCTGAGACCTCCAGGATGCTCTCCCTCCCCTCACCCCACCCATCCCCGCAGTGCCTCCCCTGCGGATCCAGGAAAGGAGGATACTGTTTCGGGCAGAGAGTCTGCTGCAGTCAGAACTGCGTGATCGTCTCGGACAGTGAGCCACCTGCCAAAGCCCTGCGAGCCCCAGAAAAAGCTGTGTGGGGACCCGGGCTTCTGCGCATCCTCCAGCTTGTGCTGTCACATTGGTGAGCTGGGGGCGGCCGGCGCCGATGGGGGTGGGGGGAGCGGACAACGGCCGGGCGCTGCCTGACCCGCGCCTCTCTTTGCGGATGGCTGCCAGGGAAACTGTGCCTGTTGACCCTGAGTCTGCAGGACTGCGGACGCCCCCAGAACGAGTCTCTTGCTCCCCCTAGGCCACCCATAGAGAGAAGGAAAATGGAATAAAGCTGATTGACCCTTCCTCAATTCGACTCGTGTATGAATTTCCGAAGTGGGAGGGAGGGCGTTGGGATCTGGGTGTGGCGCTGAGTTAGTCGGGGGTCTGGTTTCCAGTTTCCAGCACAGAACTAGAGACCTAGCCTGATGGAGCCCTGCCCCGCCAGGTGCCCAGGGGGCTGAGCGGTAGCTGTTCTCGCTGCCGACATGGTGTAAGGAGTGGGGGAGGAGGGGAACACCAGGGTGGGCTTCAAGGTCATGGAAACACTTTCAGCTCCCTCCCCAACAGGATCAGGCAGTCTGGGCTTCAGAGAAACTTTCCGAAGTTCAGAACCAGACAGAGATGAAATGCGGGCTCTGCGAGGCCACCCACAGGAGGCGGTTCTCCGTGGGCATCTGGAGACACCCCCCCCCAGTGTGTGCCAGAAGCACCCGCCCAGATGTGGGCCTGCTGGAGCTGGGGTGAACTGCAGTGTCAATACCTTGATGGGGGTGCCTCTCCCTCTCAAGAGATAAATAGATAATCTGTAAAAATAAGACAAGAAGTGAATGAAGTAACCTTAATATACTAAGAAAGTGGCGAAAAGTTACTTGAGCATTTCCCACTGTCTACAGAACTGCTCTCAGACCCCCAATAACAGACATGGGGACCCCACAAGAATCTTGGGGCCCTGAAAAACAGAACTGCAAGAGGCAAGCAGTGGCCTCTCGCTTTACACCGAGCAGCTGCAATGTCCCAGTCCCTGAGAGGCACGTGTGGGTGCATGGAAAAGGGGGCTTCTTCAGGGAGCTGGGGACCTGGAAAGACAGGGAACTGATGCTCCAAGACTATCTCCAAAGTCACAGACCAGGACAGGGGATTCCACAGGGAAGGAAAATAAGGAAGGTGGGAAAGCTGGGGGCTCCCTCCAGGAGGGTCACAGCCACGAGGAGCCTGATCGGTCCCAGAGCTGCTGTGCACACGGTCACTTTGCCCTCAAGCTCAGCATTATTGGAAACTCTATTTTCTTAGACTAGTTTGCTCTCTAGCTGGACTCACCAGGACTGCTTGGACTGGGCCTGAATTCAGCAACCCTGCTCGCAGGCAGAAAACAGCCAGTTCTGGGGGTCCTGTGGGAAGACAGGTCATAGCCATGAAATGATCATAAAACACAAAGACATAAACAAACAGCATTTTTCCAATTACATTTGAAACATACTAGGCATATGTGCATGCATGCCCAAAACCCCAAGAGGAGAATGGAAGCAAAGAGATTGCTGCGTGACCATACCCTGGGGATGATTTCTTGCTTTCTTTCTCCCTGTCTCTCCAGCGAATGCATGCACTCTTTAGCAAAAATCTCCCTTAAATAAATAAATAATTTTGTTTTCTTGTTCCCTCTTAGAAAAACTAACTATTCGGACATGCCCAGAGGAGCACTCATCCCTATTTTATCTCATGAAATGCTACCCGGTTCTAGAATTGCCAATAAAAGCCAGTTAGATCTGTAAACTAAACTTGTTTGAGATGTAAGGTTTGTTGATCCTTGTCTGTTGTCATGATACAGCGCGTGCACATGAATGAGCAGAGAGAAGCACACTCCACAAGGCCTGCCCACATGGTGATCCCTTTCCTCCAGTCTTCCAGCTCACCAGGATCCTGTGTGCAAACACGCACATCCAGCATGCTGGGAAAAAAAATTTTTTTTGACAGACAGGTGTGATGGCTGGAAAATATATTTTAAAAAATGCAGGAGTGGGAAACATAAATGGAGGCAGAGATCAGTCAAGTGACCCTGTGTTCTCCGCCTCTCCTTGCAGCCACATCTACAATGTAGTTTTGCGATTCTTCCTATCCAGAGAAGTCTCTTTCCCCATATCTTTACAGCACTCTGTCATCAATGGAATACGGCAGAACTGATGACTGACAACCCAAACTGAACCTAGACTTTGAGAAGTCTCGCACACGTCTGCTTGGTGCTTGGCTCCTTTGCCTTACCACAAGGACAAGCTCAGCTTAGCCTACCCCACTGGGGGATGAGAGACCAGCTGGAGCAGAACAAGACTCAGCTGAGCCATCAGCTAATCACAGGTGCATTTGAGATGCCTGGGTGAGTTCAGTTAAGATCAGCCAAACCCAGATGGCTTCGGAAGAATCATGTAGACAACCCAGACACTTATGGGAAGTTGTAATTGGTTGGTTTAAGCTACCACGTCAGGGGTGGTATGTGGTACCCAGCATTATTGTGACGATAGACACATGATGGGCCTGGTGGACAGCTAGCCTTCTTGGCCAGAGGGGAGGTCATTGGATTCCCTTTGAACTTCCTCAATGACTATGTTTTTCTTCATTTGAGAATTATGTTAATAGATTTCCCAGAAATGAGCCATCTTTCCATTTGTTAGTAAATCTATTTGCTCATGATGTACTCGAATTTAGTCTGCTGCATTTGATTAATTGATACTTTTTGGTAGGGCCTGCTCCCTGGCACCATAGAAGTGCTCTGGTAAAGAGAAGCTGGATCCCACAGGGCAACTGTGGTTAGAATCCCTGGCCCAGTCGGCCTGAAATCACCAGGCATGCATGGAAGTGCCCATGTTCCAGCCAGCTGGAGAACTGGAGGAAGGGGATTGTGATGTAAGCAGATCTTATGGAGGGTACTCCTCCCTCTCTCTTTCTCGCTTTCTCACTGTCACTCTCACATATGGGTTCACATGCTCTATCATGAAAAAAATGAAGTATTCTTTTTGGATGTTTGAATCTGTAATTATAAATTAGCATGGTATATGCCTTTTTTTCCTGGGCTATAATTTTATGTCAATTAAGACTGAGTTGACTGATAAGTGACTGAGAACCAAGCAGCTTGTAACGTCAGTGAATAGTCTGTTCAGACACCCAACGGGCCCTAGAGCAGCACTCCAGGATGGGTACACCATTCCATGGTTCTTTTTTTTTTTTGGAGAGATTTTCACTGTAGGGCGCATGTGCTCGCCAGACAGACAGAGAGAGACATAGAGACAGAAAGCGAGAAATCACCCCCCAGGGGGGATGGTCACACCACAATCCCTTCTCCTCCATTCTCCTCTCGGGATCTTGGGCACGCACGCACACATGCCCGGAGTGAGTTTTAAGCCACCGGGTCCGGGACATGAACCGCGGTCGACTACGTGGGAGTCCAGTGACATAGCCATTACGTCAACTGCTGGTTCCCCACCATTCCATGGTTCTTCACAGCCCATCTCAGTCAGCTTCCCGATTCTGCCGTCCTTAATTTTGGGTTGTTGGAAAAGTCATGACCCATTTTTGCAAAGAAAACTATGTCATGACTTTTCCGATGACCTAATATACACTTTTCACCCTCTAGTCGTAGGAGGACTACTGCTTCTTTCACATCATGATTATGATCCAGGCAAGAGAAAGTCCGAAGGGGCCAACCATTTCTCCTTCATATTCCTATAGACTTGGCAGCTGACCACAGAGTGACTGCTAACTGACCCCCCTCCCACCCCTGAAAATAGCTTTAAAACTGGACAAAATAAATAAGGCAGCTGTTTTTCAGGCATAACCGAAGGAAACTCACTAGGTTAACTCCAAGATCGCCCAGAACTCTGCCTGGAGACAATTTCTTGCGCATAGTGTGGCAGATGGACTCTGAGCAGGCCAGGGTTGTTCACTGTGGCAGAGGCAGGACTACTGCTACAAGTCCTCGGGGAAGTCCTGCCAAATCGATGAAAAGAAATCTTGGAAACATCTCTGAGAGAGATGGAGAGTGTCTCCACAACTGCCCACTCACCACTTCTACCAGATGTCCATCTGATGTCCATCTGAATCTATCAACGAATGGAGAAAGAACCATGAGAGGCTCGACAGACTTGCCGTTATTGGTCTGGAGCAATCGGAATTTGAATCCCTTTTCCTCTTACTACTTGAGTGTCTTTGGGAACATTTCTTAATCTCTCTGTGCCTCAGTTTCTTCAAAATTAAAATAAAGAAATAATTCTTATCTCCCTGTAAGATTATTGTGGCAATGAAATGAGAGATTCATGTAGAGCTATGATTGGTTCCTGGGACATAGTTAGTGCTCAGTACATTTTAGATACTGATGTTATTTATTGATGTATTTATTTTTGGCCAGAGACCATGTGCACTCTTCATGAGAGACAAAGACAGAGACAGAGAGACAGAAAGCGAGAAATCACCCCCCAGGGGGGATGGCCATGCCGCAATTCCTTCTCCTCCATTCTCCTCTCAGGATCTTAGGCACTCATGCACACATGCCCAGTGTGAGTTTAAGCCATTGGGTTTGGGACTCGAACCATGGTCGACTAAATGGGAGTCCAGCAACAGCCATTACGCTAACTGCTGGTCCCCCACGTGACCTGTTTTAAAAAGAGCCAGGTCTCCGTCTCCCTCTCACACTTTGTCCAAAAAATAAATAAATAAGATCCAGCATGGAGCTGCAGGAGCTGCATGCCCGTAGTCCCAGCTGGGAGGCTGAGGCAGGACGGCCTGACCTAATATACACTTTTCACCCTCTAGTCGTAGGAGGACTACTGCTTCTTTCACATCATGATTATGATCCAGGCAAGAGAAAGTCCGAAGGGGCCAACCATTTCTCCTTCATATTCCTATAGACTTGGCAGCTGACCACAGAGTGACTGCTAACTGACCACCCTCCCACCCCTGAAAATAGCTTTAAAACTGGACAAAATAAATAAGGCAGCTGTTTTTCAGGCATAACCGAAGGAAACTCACTAGGTTAACTCCAAGATCGCCCAGAACTCTGCCTGGAGACAATTTCTTGCGCATAGTGTGGCAGATGGACTCTGAGCAGGCCAGGGTTGTTCACTGTGGCAGAGGCAGGACTACTGCTACAAGTCCTCGGGGAAGTCCTGCCAAATCGATGAAAAGAAATCTTGGAAACATCTCTGAGAGAGATGGAGAGTGTCTCCACAACTGCCCACTCACCACTTCTACCAGATGTCCATCTGATGTCCATCTGAATCTATCAACGAATGGAGAAAGAACCATGAGAGGCTCGACAGACTTGCCGTTATTGGTCTGGAGCAATCGGAATTTGAATCCCTTTTCCTCTTACTACTTGAGTGTCTTTGGGAACATTTCTTAATCTCTCTGTGCCTCAGTTTCTTCAAAATTAAAATAAAGAAATAATTCTTATCTCCCTGTAAGATTATTGTGGCAATGAAATGAGAGATTCATGTAGAGCTATGATTGGTTCCTGGGACATAGTTAGTGCTCAGTACATTTTAGATACTGATGTTATTTATTGATGTATTTATTTTTGGCCAGAGACCATGTGCACTCTTCATGAGAGACAAAGACAGAGACAGAGAGACAGAAAGCGAGAAATCACCCCCCAGGGGGGATGGCCATGCCGCAATTCCTTCTCCTCCATTCTCCTCTCAGGATCTTAGGCACTCATGCACACATGCCCAGTGTGAGTTTAAGCCATTGGGTTTGGGACTCGAACCATGGTCGACTAAATGGGAGTCCAGCAACAGCCATTACGCTAACTGCTGGTCCCCCACGTGACCTGTTTTAAAAAGAGCCAGGTCTCCGTCTCCCTCTCACACTTTGTCCAAAAAATAAATAAATAAGATCCAGCATGGAGCTGCAGGAGCTGCATGCCCGTAGTCCCAGCTGGGAGGCTGAGGCAGGACGGCCATGTGATGACACTGTGTAAACACTAAAAAGGAATGATCGCCATAAAGGGGACACTGGGCCATGGGAATTTGTGTGCATGCATTAGCTCAGAGGAGGTCAGTGTGCACAAGGCTGGGTGGGGCACCTGTCTGGGTCATTGTTGGGGTCAAGCCCTCGGCTTGCTCAGCCACAGAATGCCAATGAGCTAATCTGGGCAGGAAACGGCCAGCTACTGTAATGAGGTGAGCCCAACCAGCTCCTCAGTGCAGGAAAGATTATGCTAATTCTTATGAGACAGTGTGTTGGAGTCACATGGACTCTGAGGCCTCCTCCAGGGGGTCAGTGACTGGGCAGGAGAGTCTGGGGCTGTCCCACGCCCTTTCCTGGGCAGAGAGAGTGCACAGGGAGGAACTGTCCTGCCAGGTCTGGTCTCTCACACACCAGATCTAGGTCTCCAGCTCTGCAGGCTGGGCTTCCCAGGGAGCAGGTCGAGACAAAGGGCCCTGGGACCCACCCTGAGGGTGTGGAGACAGGAACGGACAGAGAGAGTAGAGCGTGGACCTCAGCTGTCCCCAGGGAGCAGGCTGAAACAGAGGGACCTGGGACCCACCCTGGGGGTGTAGAAACAGGAGTGGACAGAGAGAGCAGAGTGTGGACCTCAGCTGTCCCTAGGGAGCTCTGGATCCACAGTATTCCTGCAAATTGGTCCTGCCTTTGGGTCAAGATGGGCCAGTCAGTGAATGGGGGAACCCGGGAGGCTGTGGCTCTGAGCGCTGTCTACGGCTGAGGCAGGCCCTGTAGAGGTGGCCAGAGGAAGGCAGCCTGCTGACCGCTCTCCCAGCAGTGGGTTGCAAGTTCTTTTTTTTGTAATTTATTTATTCATTTCTCCCAAAAGCAAGAGACAGAGAGAGAAAAGAGCACTTTCAGCAAGGTGCTGACATGCAGTCCACCCCAGCCTCCACTAACCCCAGGTTCAGGCACCGTGCATGTCCAGTGCACTCAGGGAGGTCTCTGGACGGGAACCTGGACCTTCCCTGGTGAGCCGGCCTCACAGAGCATTGCTCTGCCCTGTGCCCCCAGCTGCACAGTGAGGCCTTTCTATGGAGGACCTGGGCAAGGCCTCTCCCTCCTTGTTCACAGCGTTAATATTGACCAACACCTGTCCACCCAGACAGTCTGTCTTGGTTTGAGTTTTTAATTACTTTAATATGAGACACATAAAAAAATGCTGAGAAAATGTCCAAAACCAGTTTTTAATGGCATAAACCAAAAGATGTAGGATTATAAAATAAACTTTATATCCAAATATTTGTGGAAAAGGAATGAATATAGGATTTCATTTTGGTCCAGTATAATATTGAAATATATGCACAGTTTTTAAAATAATACACATTTCCACAAACTTTCTTAAGATACTTCATTTTTATATTCAGACTTTAAAACATTAAAATGCATTTCAATGTTGTTGTAACTGTATTTATTTAACGATTAGAGAGCAAATTCTATAGGACCAGCAGGTGGCATAGTAGTTAAGGACTGACTCCCACAATGGCTGAACACAGCTTGAGTCCTGGACTTGGGGCTTGAAAATCATGTTGAGTGTGTTATTCAGGTGTGCCCAAAATCTTGGGTGGGAAATGGAGGCGAACTGGGACCAGCAGATGGCATAATGATTATATCACCAGATACCTACAGGACTGATCATGGTTCAAGTCCTAGACTGGGCGACTTCAAACTCACACTGGGTGCGTGTGTGCGCATGCCCAGAATCCTGAGAGGAGAATGGACGAGAAGGGATTGCAGTGTGGCTCCCTCACCTCGCAGGAGTGTGTGATTTCTTGCTTTCTGTATCTCTGGCAAGTGCATGCATCCTATAGCAAAATTCTCTCTAAAAAGAAAAAAGAAAGGGGAACCAGCAGTTAGCGTAATGGCTATGTCGCTGGACTCCCACGTAGTCGACCGCGGTTCGCATCCCAGACCCGGTGGCTTAAAACTCACGCCGGGCGCATGTGCGTGCGTGCCCAAGATCCCGAGAGGAGAACGGAGGAGAAGGGGTTGCGGCGTGACCATCCCCCCAGGGGGTGATTTCTCGCTTTCTGTCTCTATGTCTCTCTCTGTCTGGCGAGCGCACGCTCCCTATAGTGAAAACCTCTCAAAAAAAAAAAAAAAGAAAGAAAGAAGAAAGAGGAGGAGAATAAATCACTGCATACCCCCCCACACACACACACAGGGTGATTTTTAAATTTTCCTCTCTATCTCTCTCCAGTGAGCACATGTACCCTTTTACAAAATCAAAACCAAAAAAAGATAGCAAGGTCTAGCGTAAGTCTAATTAATGCTATGATTTTGAAGTAATTATGAGCCTAAACTATACACACACACACACACACACACACACATATGTGTATATATGTATGTAAATACACACACCTAAGTTTTTGCCATTGGGCATGTGCGCTCAACAGAGAGACAGAGATAGAGAGAAAGAAAGCAAGAAATCACCCCAAGGGGAGATGGCTACTCCTCAATCCCTTCTCCTCCATTCTCCTCTTGGGATTTTGGTCACGCATGCACATGCTTCAGTGTGATTTTCAAGCCACTGGGTCTGGGACTCAAACTATGGTTGGCCACATGGGAGCCCAGCCCCTTAACCCCACCTGCTTGCCCCACCGTGTAAACTGTATTTAGAGACATTTGCCATACCTGTAATGGGGTAGGAGGTTACCTGCACTGTGATCTGTGACAAAGTCCCTGGTATTGTGGTCCCTTGCCTACCTCATACTTGAAGGAGAGGCTGAGTTTATTTCAGTTAGAAGTTAAGAAAAGATGTGATCTTTTCGAGTTCCAGCTCAGGGAAGTAGGTGCTGCTGATAGGGGTTGGAAAGCTTTTTGGAAATGTGGGCTGAGAAAGAGGAGACCTTCACAACAGAGGGGACTAGCACATGTGAGGGTCAGGCTAAGAGGGCAGACTGGGTGGCGGGAGAGGCCCTAGTGTCCTTCCCCCAACCCCAGATGTAGTGGGACTGCAGAGAAATAGCTCTTGATTGGACTGCTCCTGCTCCCACATCTCCGTGCCTTGCCTAGTGACCCACCCAGCCCAGCCTGCTCCCTTCCCCACAGCACCGTCTGTGCCAAGTCCATTACCCAGGCGATGACCTTGACCCTGGCCCAGGCCATGCAAATGAGGGGGCGCACAGTGCGCCCAAGGGCTGACCTGCAGCGACCTGCTGTGACCAGGCATGCAGCCGCCCTCTTAGACAGGGCTCGGCCAGGGCAGCGTCCAGGCATACAAAGGCTGGCCAGGGAGACTGCCGCAGTCGCCAAGCCAGATCCAGCGCGTCAGCACCATGGCCAGCTCCAGCCTCGCCTGCTGCCTGCTGGGGCCCCTCGCGCCGACCCCATGCTG